TTTAATCGCTTAGATATAAAACAGTTACACATAAATTTTGGTTTAAAACAACTTGTGAAGATACCAACAAGAGGGGGCAATACACTTGATCTAGTGCTCACAAACCTAGATCCTTTCTATCTATCGGACACCATCATCGCATTTCTGCCCTTCGGCCTTTCTGATCATTCTGTAATTGCTGTCTCTCCTAAACTCCGAGACCCTAAGTCTAACCAGAAGAAAGTCATCTATAAACGCGATATGAGACCTTCACGCAAAGCTATGTTTGGGCGGTATTTAAGCGAAATTGACTGGTCTTTCCTTGACTCACCCAAATCCGTTGAGGTGAAAAACCAACTGTTCACCGATATGCTATCCTTTGGATTATTCTATATATTGCCTGAAAAACGCCTTTTGGTTCATTCCAATGACCACCTGTGGATCAACAAGGATCTGCGTCATCTCATACAACTTCGACAGCGTGCCTTTTTCTTCAGGAATGACACCTTCAAATTCTATCGAAATAGGGTTAATAGGAAAAGGAAAACTTGCAAGGCTAATTATTATAAGACAAAAGGAGATCATTTAAAACAATCTAACCCGAAACACTGGTGGTGTGAAGTAAAACACATTAGTGGAATGGTTTCACATTCAAGCCTACAGGATTGTATCCAATCAGAAAACTTAGAACACCTGCCCTTGGCCGATTTGGCTAATGCTAATAACAACGCCTTTCTAGAACCCATGCAGGAATTTGATCCTTTCAACCCTAATGACGACCAAATGAATAGTATGTCTGATCAACCTTCTTGACATCACTACACCGTGGGAAACATATAATAAACTTAAATTACAAAGTACCTCTAAAGCACCAGGTCCTAATGAAGTTCCGAATTTTGTTTACAAGGAATATGCCGCGATTTTGGCATGCCCAATCTCTAGCTTGATCAACTGTTCACTCTGCCATCAATTATTACCAAGCTTATGGAAGTTGGCAAATATTATCCCAATTCCAAAGGAAAAGGTTGTATGCGACATTAATAAACACTTAAGACCTATATCTCTTACCGACCCATATCTCTTAAGACCCATATCTCTTATCTCAAAACCAGCTGAAGAATTTGTCATTGAAAAGTTTGTCGCCCCTGCCATCTTGAAATGCATCGACTCTCACCAGTTCGGAGGAATACCAAGGTCATCTTCAACTATTGCCCTTATTAGTATGTTGCACAACTGGGCTAAAGCAACCGATGGTACTGGAAATTCTGTCCGAATCCTTCTGGTCGATTACAGGAAGGCTTTTGATCTTATTGATCACTCAATCTTGATCAACAAAATTCACCAACTGCCCATCCCAATCTATATCATTTGGGTGGTCGGAAACAGCGCGTGAAACTTGCAAGGGATTGTGTTTCTGAGTGGGGTAATGTCCCTAGTGGCGTCCCACAGGGCACAAAGTTGGGACCTTGGTTGTTTATTCTCATGATAAACGATTTGAAGCTTATGGACATCACCCACTGGAAATACATCGATGATACAACAGTCTTGGAAACCATCCCAAGAAACGGAACCAGTCAAATCCAATCTGGAGCTAACAAACTTGAAATGTGGAACTTGCAGAACAAATTCCAATTGAATGTCCAAAAATGCAAAGAGCTTTTGTTTCAATTCCACAGAAATAGAGTATCCTTTGATAATATCCATCTTCTTGCGGGGTGTCCAAACCTGGTTCACCAAGCTAAAATTCTAGGTGTTACGGTTAGTGATGATTTAAGATGGTCTACGCATTTCCTAAACATAATAAAGAAAGCCAACAAGAGAATCTTCTTCATAGTCCAATTAAAACGAGCTAAAATACCAGACAAAGAAATTCTAAACTTTTATTGTTGCTGTGTCAGACCGGTTCTGGAATACGCTTGTGAGGTATTTCACTTTGCTCTGCCCAAGTATCTCAGTGATAACATAGAACGAGTCCAGAGAAGAGTTACATCCATAATCTTTCCCGTTTTGTCTTACAGCGAGCGTTTGGACAAAGCTAACTTGACACTCTTAAGCGATCGTCGAAGGCATGTCTGCTCCAAACTATACAATCAGATAACTAAGGACCCTGCACACAAGTTGTCGAATTTGTTTCCTGCATGTCCACCTATCACCAACGACTTGCGTAGTATACGTGTCTTCCAAACACCAGTGATTAAAACTGATAAATTTTTAAAAACATTTATTCCTTCTTGTATTAAAGAATTCTCTTAAGCGTAATCTTCGTAGTTTTAACTTTGTAAATACATAATTTATATACTGAGTTACACACTTTAACATATTTGTAACGTTCTTTTATATACTTTTTTTTAGATAAACTTTATTCTCATAATTATCTATCTATCTATCTATCTATCTATCTATCTATCTATCTATCTATCTATCTATCTATCTGGGTTTATTGATAAGAAGAAACTTTTATTCTTAGGAACTTTATGTCGCTCACAATTGCACAAGAAAATCTTTGTTTATAGACTGTTTTCATTTATTTATTATAATGAACTTTCTTCAGTCGGATACGTCGCAGATATTGTTGAAGTGTTAGGGAAATATGAATTATATCACTATCTGGAAGATTATATTAAGACAGGTGTGTTTCCAAATAAACGGTTGTGGAGGAACTATGTTGTTAAAGCCATCGATGAACATGAAACAGAATGCTGGAAAGACAAAATGCAGTGCAAGCCAAACTTGAAACACCTGCGCGAAAACCACCAAAAATTGCAGCCTATTGTGCACTGGGAAGTTGCTATGTGCTACCCCAAGGATCGAGAAATACTTACTAATTTAGTAAATGTACAGGTTGGAAATGTACCATCAATAGTTATGAAGGCTGTGGAAGAACACGAAACGCACTACATATGTAGGCTTTGTGACAAACAATTGTATGATGTTCCATATCATTTTATTATGGATTGCCAAAGAACATCCCAAGAACGCGATAAATTATGGGACAACCTAACAGATCAGCTTTCCATTCAAGAAATTTGCTACTTGCACAATCTTTGTGAGGAGGACGTGTATTCCAGTCTTTTAAGTGGCAATCATCCGATGTTCAGAAATGACAAAGAGGAACTTTATCTCTTTCTAATTATTTCCGCCAGAGGAATTATGGATATATTTCTGAAAATTAACAACCTTTTAGATTAGAGTATAAGTGCTGGTTAAAGCACTGTTATAAGTATAGAGTATTTGTGCATGTGTAATAATATTTTAGTGTTAAAATTATATATAGTTAAATAATTTTATTAGATTTTTATAGGACAAACTAACTGTACATTTTCTATCTATCTATCTATCTATCTATCTATCTATCTATCTATCTATCTATCTATCTATCTATCTATCTATCTATCTATCTATCTATCTATCTATCTAAAAATGATATGCTAAAAATGAATTTTCACAACAAAATCGTGATCAAAATGGGTGCGACGTTGTTATTATTGGGGATTCTATAACGAAGCACATTCATGGTCATCGCTTATCTCGAAAACACAAAGTTAAGAACATGTCATTTCCTGGTGCAACTGTTGAAGACATGGTGGATTTTGTGAAGCCTATCATCAGGAAAAGGCCGAAGAAAATAATT